TATTGCCTCCGCCGCCGCCGTTGTTGCCTCCGCCGCCGCCGTTGTTGCCTCCGCCGCCGCCGTTGTTGCCTCCGCCGCCGCCGTTGTTGCCTCCATCCCTACTGTTTCCACTTAAAATGTTGTTGGCATTATTGCCATTGCCGTTGTTGCCATTCCGGTGAGGAGATGCCTCCGCAATGACCAGGCAAAGAACCAACACCGCAAACAACACTGCCAGCAGCGAGCGTCTTGATTGAAGCATTGCAAACAACGATTGATAAACAAAAGATGACAAAAAAAAGGTTGTAAAAAAGGTTAAATCAGTGAAACTCCGGGCCGGCCGCAGAAAAGAAATGGAATAAAGTGCGAGATTGGGGTAAAGGGAAAAAGAGAACATTAGATATAAATAGCGTACCCAGGCCTTGAACATCATGAACACAAATCAAACGAGAGAGCTGCGCTTCAGTGTCGTTCGGACGCCGTGAAACGGCTGCAGTGTTGCGAGTGTCGCAGCCTTGAGTCTTGTTTCGCCTTTTGGGGTGCGCTAATGTGATAGGGCCTAGAGCATGGCGAACCGAGACGCGCTCATGCAACAATGCGTAATTACCCGATTTTCGAGACACTCTACATGGACCGCGCGATCAATGAGAAACAGGGGATTAGTCTTTTCAAGCTGTGATGCTGCCGTCTCAGGATCGTCTGAACCAGAAAACGACCGCTCGCATCAGCCGGCGCAGCTCAATGCGCGTTGTGCAAGAGTCAGGCCCGCCCGCCAAAACAGCACACGTAGGAGGCTGTAGGGTTTTGTGGTTTTTTAGTAGTACTATTCACGCACCCTTGATGCTAGGTATGTAACTGCGGTGCTCCGAGCGTCGTATAGACTTCGCAGTCCCACGCCGGCGCAGGACGGGGCGGCGCCACTCGCCGGGGCGTGGGCAGGCTGGCGAAGGCGGTGATTGGGCTGCCCTCTATGGGGGGCGGGAGCACGAGATCGCTGCTGCCCTTGAAGGAGGAGACGAGGACCGAGTCAGGCGCCGCATAGACGACAAAGTCGTCGTCCATGAAGACGTGGTGCGCGACGCCGGACCGGCGCTGGTGAAAGGTGTCAATTGTAAGCGCGGGCTCGAGACGCCGCGGGCGCACATAACCGGCAAAGGCTTCCTGGGAGCTCGCGATGCAGGCAATGTTGTCTGTGGCGAGGAGGAGCTCGCTAAAGGTGCAGGGCTCGTGGATGACGTGCGGCCGCGGCTGCCACAGCACCAACAGGTAGTCGTCCCACGCCTGGATATCGCGCCAGTCGGCCCAGTCCCAGGTCGGGCGATGGAACTTGGGGCTGGTCAGGCACTTTTCGTAGGTCCTGTGCGCAAACGACTCAGTGAGCACGTTGAAGCACACGAGCTGCCAGTTTGACTCGGCCAGCGTGCTCTTGTTCCCGTGGTAGTGGAGACAGGTTTGGGCTACGCCGAGCATGTAGAGCCCGTGGCTGTTCATCTTCTGACATCGTAAGGAGAAATGGAGTATGCCATCCGAGTAGGGCCGGTGGGGATCAAAAGCCCGTGCTGGATTTGCAATTGTTGTCTCATATCTCTCGACTGGCCTCCCCTGTTGATATTTGACTATAACAACGACATGTATGCGATCATCTGAGTTTACGGTTAGTCATGGCACAACGCATGCTCTACAAGTACATACCGAGTGTCACAGGTTTATGGACCCAAGATAGGAAGTAAATGTTGTTGTCAGTGGGATGGAAAATAGCCCCGGGCACCCTTTGCAAGCAAGGCAGGCAATCACTCGGCGGGGCTGACAGCTCGGAAACTGTTGCTTGGAGGTCTATTGTTGATCCGCCCCACGACCAGTGAAATGCGTCGCCAGTGCTGGTAACTGCGATGACGGTGCTGTCATGTGCGTAGCATTTTGCAAGACGGCCTGGCAATGAGAGGCGCCTCCATTCCAAACTCTTTTCGTTCCATATTTGTCTGCTATTGGTTAGTATAGGCATTGCAAACGTATTTGAGCCGAGAGTGCCCACAGTTCACGGCAGACCTGACTGCCCGCACTCAAGTCGATGGAGCTGAAAACGACCAGCTGCCTTGTTACGGCCTGAAGGTCCAGCTTGCGGCCCGCTACAAGGCTCGCCCCGAAACTGCATCTAGTACGGGTGAGGCTCTTCAAGTCATTGATGACGGCGTAGCTGTCCTCGGGCTGCCACGCCAGCAGGCCATCCCCGTAGCACATGGGGGGGCTGTCGAGCCCAAAGTCGAGACACTCGGATCGGTGAAAGGCGTCCTCGCGCATATCCTCGCTGCGCTGGGGCTCGTTGTTGGCGCCGACGAACCAGCGCGTCGACAAGTACGCGTTCGGCCAGGGCCGCAGGTACTTGCCAATGTACCGGCGGGCGCGGGCGGAAAAGAGGTCGTGGCCGGCGGCGTGCGCCAGGCCGTGGCTCTCGGTCAGGCCGGCAAAGTAGCGGCAGCAGAGCGAGGCGGTGACGGCGCCAAAGGTCCATGCGGCGTGCCAGTGGCGGCACACGTGGGCGCAGGCGAGCAGGTCCTCGAGCTCGAGAAACTGCGCAATGTAGATGATGATTTCGGCGGGCAGGTCCTCGAGCGCGGCGAGCCGGATCCGCGCCTCGTGTGCGTGCATGCGCCGCCGGAGATAGACGAGGTCCCACGACGACAGGCTGCCGAGGAAGCCATCGATGACCTGCTGCCGCGCGCGCGTGTCCAGCCCTTGCAGTTCCATGAACAGCCTGGGGGAAGTCGTTTGCCAAGACAGGATACTGAAATGGACGGGGAAGCTGTGGTTGCGAGAGCACTGTAGAGGACGGGATAGGTCGAGTTTGCACGATGGGATATGAGCGACGGATGGGCGGCCCTGGGGTTGGGCAGCAGCGCCTTCTCGCGGTGGGGGAAGGGACTGGACTGATGCTGGGCGTTTGCGGGATATTCTGCGCGCACCAAACCGGGTAGCTCGACGGCTCTGCACCTATGCATTCAACCCCAAAGAGCTTGCCTGTGCAGGTTGCTGCAGCCGCGAGCTGTATGTCGCTCGTCGGATGGCAGAGGATAGGTGGTGGCTTGTGATCTGAGGGTTTCGATGTGAATCCCGGGGTGTGGCACATCTATGTGGGTTGTCATGCGTTGGTGCGGCCCAGTGTAAATCAGCCATCTTGGCGGTGACTGACAGCCAAGTAGACGTTCTGAATTTTGTGGGAGAATTTAGTTTGGAAACTGCCTTGCCTTTGTGTGTGAATTTCTCTGAGATTGAATTATTTAAAATTGGCGTTATCCAATGTCCGTGCAAATGTGCACACACTCACTGTTGGTGCTCCGTCGTGAGATGGGGTACCTATCTAGTGGACATCAATTTACATCAACGCATATGCATATCATCAGCAAAATGAATGCGGAATCGCGTACACTTCATTGGACTACATGTTCTTCCATTTGTTTCCACCATGTCTTTATACCCGCCACATCACACCACGTCAGGTCAACTGGGTCCTCAAACCACCATTCCCCTCCCTTTCCGCCATCACTCGCATACTTTTTCAGGCTGCCGCCGTCAAAGCGATGATTCTTTACCCCTGTGAGAAGAACCGCGCTGCCAATGGGAGGGGTAAACGACTCAGGGTCCAGAAACACGGTCAAGTGTACCTGCTTGGCCGTCGAAGGGTCGGCCAGCCGCGCCGTTCGCTGCTTGTACGGTGGCAGATAGGAAGCCTCTACCGGCGACAGCGAGGTAATAATGGCAAGGATATTGCATGTCCAGTTTTGCGCGTACGGCAGCGATGGAATCGAATGGAGCGTGGTGAGCTTCAACGGCACCTGGCGATCGACCCAGTCTCGAGGAAGCGCCACTGGCCCCCGTGCGCGCGATGAAGTAGCGGCCTTTGGCGTGCTTCGTTTTTTCGCGTTCGGAAACACAATCCTTTCCATGTCCTCGAAGGCGTCATCCATGTCGATTTCATCCCCGTAGCCCGACGACGACGGCGGCAACCTGACCGATGCCGACTCTTCCTCCATCCTGGTATGAAGCATGGGCGGCGGTGACCGGGCCTCTCCTGGTATCGCCTTCTCCTTGCCTTTATCGTTTTTTGCTGATGTACGCTCATCGTGAGTCTCTGATTCGTCTCTATGTTGCTTGGCCATGGCACGATAGGCGTCGTTCCATCCAATGGTGGTTAGATCGTGCAATGCGAGAAAGACCATTTTCTGATCCATCTTGCCGCCGGCGGTACCATCTTCGGGGTCCATTGCCTCCCATTGCAGGTCGAACTGCTCCAGCTTGATGTAAAAGCCCGTCGAGACTTCGCCTGTTTCCACGAACCGGTGACAGTCGGCGCTGAGCAGCGCTTGCACGCACAAATCACCATCGCCTAGGAGAAGCCGGACAGCCTGCCAGCGGCCCGTCTTTGACACCGGGATAATTTCGATGCCTTCCACGAGAAAAATGGTACCTGGAGCGCAGTACCGCGTCCTCAGCAACTCTGAAATGACGGGCACGAGCGTGAATGCATCATGGTCGGGCGCGGTTGTGATAGCGTTGGGATCGACGCGCGGAGACGCGACTTCGGCCATGTGCGACAATCAATATTATCGCATCTGAGCGCTTCGAGTTTGGCCCATTTCCAGTCCTGTTCTGCCCTGTGTTGCGTCTGTGAATGGCAAGCTCCCGAGGCGCCATTCAGAGGCTTGACGATGTATGCACTTAGCGAATGTGGATCGCTCAACCGGGGGGTGATTCTTTATCCGGCGAAGGCAGGAACTCAACATGATTGTTGAGACACCGCATTGCACATGAAATTCAAACAATTTCAAAATGGACAGCAATTACCGAAAGGAGCTGGAAATTGCCTTTGATGCTTTGCAAAAAGCTTCAAGTCTGAGCCAAACAGTCGTGTCTGCGCAGGACAAGGCTGGGATCGAAAAGAGCGACCTCAGCCCCGTCACCGTCGCCGATTTCGCAGTGCAGGGCCTGCTGGCGGCAACTTTCAAGGGCGCCTTCCCCGACGACAATTTCGTGGGCGAGGAAGATGCATCACACCTCAGAGACAACGAAGCCCTCCTCAACAGAGTTTGGGAGCTGCTGAGCACGGTGCCCCGCGATGGGCTCACAAGGCTGCCCGAGTCCAAGCAGCAGCTGTGTGACCTGGTCGATCTCTGCGGATCTGGGGTGCCCGACTCGAGACGGACATGGGTTTTCGACCCCATAGACGGCACCAGAACGTATATGATGGGACAAGTCTACGCCATCAACATTGGGCTGCTTGTCGACGGCCAGCAGATGCTCAGCGCCGTCGGCTGCCCCAACACATCCATGGACGCCAAGGCGCCGCTGAACAACCCCGACATTGACCCCTCCCACGGCGGCTGCATCGCCTTTGCCGTCAAAGACCACGGCGCCTACGTGCGGCCGATGCACGGCCGGCCGGCCGACGTTACGCCGCGGCGACTGCCCCCGCAGACGCCGGTCCGCGGCGTCAGCGACCTGCGCTTCGTGACGAGCCACGACATGGCTGACTCGGTGCTGCCGGGGATCCACGAGCGGCTGACGGCGCGCATGGGCATCGCGTTTCCGGGCTGCGACCTGCTGCCGTGGGTGCTGCGCTGGACGGTGCTCGCCATGGGGCTCGGCGACACGACGGTGCAGGTGTACAAGAGCCGGCAGCGCCTCGGCAAGATCTGGGACCACGCCGGCGCCATGCTGCTGTACGAGGAGACGGGCGGCAAGATTACCGACATTGACGGCAAGCGGCTGGACTGGCTGGCCGGCCGCCAGTTTGTGCGCAACTTTGGCTTTGTCGCCGCGCCGCCGAGCGTCCACGCGGCCGTGCTGGAGCAGGTGCGCGAGACGCTACGAGAGAATGGACATGCGGACATGTTGGATATCTAATTTATAAAGGACGGGTTGGACATAGATGAGGGAAACGTGAACCGAGACGCGCGGGGGGGTCTCGGCGCATTGGTATGAGGGATCGGCGGAGCCATTGCTATTCAATATTGTTTGTTAGTATCGAGTTTGCTTGTAAAACCTTATTCCGGATATCCAGGCCGTCGACTACAATGAGCTAGACAACAATGAGCCACGGACAAGCAAGAACCCGAACGGGCAAGTTGGACCATGGAAAGCCACTTCTATATATGTAACGATTAACCTTTGCAAATAGCAAAGGTAGCAAAGGTTATTGTATAAGACTCCGCAAATAGCATTCGCCTTCAAAATACAAAATACAGAACTTCATGCTGCAGAATGCGATTATTCAGTATGGCCATTTGACCAAAAGACAGCTCATCGGCAGCCGCAAGCTAACTTTGTTGACGAACGAGCACGAGAGCACCTTCCCGATTTCTCAAACTTCATGACTCGTCTTTGCATTGCATAACGGTTGTCCTGTTTCGCCCGGTCCCGGGTATCACCCGCAGGCACAGGGGGGCATCTGGAGGCCTTGTATCAGATGATGCTTGTGTGACTTGTCGTTCGATTTGCTGTTTCGCCCGCATTGCAGCATAATTATGCAGACAGTTCCTGCGCAGGGAGGGTTGGTATGGGGATTTTCGTCACGCACATAACATGGCGAAACGGGGGCTGTTTCCTCGGACAGACAATTTGGAAGAGCGAGAATGACCTGCAGCTTAATAATTAGCGACGATGCGACGGCCACGGAATGCCAAGAGCTACAGACGCCGTGATGACTGTCTGTACATGTATCACCATGTATTTTGACGGGGCCCTGACAAAGACAAATGGTACATGCGAGTATCACTGGAACAGTCGTTGTACTGGGTACTACTTACTCCAGCCATACAACCAACTGCGACACTAAATACATGGTCCAAATAAATGCCTTGCCTTCTACTCTCAGTTTCAACACCACTTTACTGCAGGTTTGGGGGCAGCCACCTGGCGCTGGTTTAGGGTGGCGCTCGAGAGGCTTGCATTTACGTGTAACCTGTGTAAGTCAGAGTATTGGAATGTAGGTCAAGGTGTTGCACAAAGAGAAGGAATTACCATCGCCACAGGGCGTCTGGTTTGGTGGCTTGGCTTTTTACGCGATGTCGAGTTCCCGCCCGCAGCCGCAAACCCTAACCAGACGGCTCCAGTCCGAGTCGTAAAAGATGGCAAGCAAGATGCGCAGTGTAACGCGAATGCGAGTCTTTCTACTTGCACGCGCTCTTTCCGCCGTAAAGTTTTGCGGCAGAATACTTATGAATAAAGGCCCGTCTTCTTTCTTTATGCAGAACAAAGCAAGCTGCAATAGCCCATTGACACGGGGTGTGTGGAGTGCGAAGCCCGTTTCCATTTTGACATGACCAGTTCAAAGGAACTGTTGGAGCCGTCGTGATCGAATCCTGTGGCGTTTGTTTGCTCGTTATTAGATTATATACCAATTGGCAGAGTTGCACCGCTTCCACGTTATTTGCGAGGTCGAAGTTCGGTGTCCAAGTTCGTAGTTGAAAATGGCAACGACGCTATAGTTACTCGTGCCTACTGGCGAAGTAAGATATAGGGCAAAGACAACATTTTTGGTTTGCTATATTGCCGGTTGTTTCCGATCGAGTTCTGTAGTTAAAGAGGTTCTGTAACTAATAAAAGCTTCGTAACAAATTATTAAAAATTGCTTCACACTAGAAAGCTTCTACACTAAAAACTTCTACACTAAAAATCTTCCTTAGTAGGGCTTAGAGTAACAGATGACGCTGATGTGGCTTTCACCGCCGCTTCAAACTCAGATGGCCATGGTTTTTTCGTAACTAGTTTCCCGCTCTTTGAACATGAACAAGTATTTCGGCACCACCAACTTTGAACCTTTCTTGGCGCCAATTACACTGCAACGTGCCAGTCCCGGACACACGTGGGCGTTCTACTAGGCGGCCATGAGCCCTGTGAGCAGCACCGGGTACCGTGCCGATCACGCGCCAACGTCCCAGGGGCGGAGATGCCCTGCGGGCGCAACCAAAAGTCAGAAGTCCCATCCTGGGGCCACGCGATGTCCTTTCTGATCAGGCCCCCTCTCCCCCGTGGCCTCATACAGAGCAATGAATGGACATAGGATGAACAATGGACAACCCACCCCCCACAACTGCAAATCCGCTCGGTCTACCACCTTGGCTTGAACTGTGTTTGCCCTTTTGGCTTGTTCTTCTTTGCTCAGACTAACTAGGCCTCTTGGGGCAGGCGCCACATGTCATATCCGAACCATGACAGCCGAATAAGCCACGATTGCGGACGGGGCAACCACCATCGGTCTTTGTGGCGGGAGGAGGAGGCTTCTCCGCTGGCTCATGCAACCCACGACGATGGTCTGGAGGCTCTCATTTGGCCGGACGGCCGAGGGAAGGAGATGTTGCGGGAAATAATGGAAATCCCTTTGTTCTCTTTTGCTGTTTTTTTTTTTTTTTTTTTTTTGCTGTTCCCATCTGGCGCACGTCTTTGAGTTGAGCTCGTCATGCCGGGTGACATGCACCCGGCATGAATACATACATGAATACCACCGCATGGGGGGGCCCCTGTATAAGTCTCAAAGATCCCCCCCGCGAATTCATCTCGCCTCATCGTTTTGTCGTCTCACGCATCTCATCTTCTTTCGGGAACTGATCACGAGAGACGATACTTTCGCTCTCACAGCAAGTGCTCTCACAGCAGCGTCGACGCTTTTTCGTCCCAGCGAGAAAATCCGCGCCTTGTGTAAGCCAGCCTCCTCCCCCCTCATCGAGGAAAACCTCACTACCATATTCACATACACCAGCGGCTAACCATCCCTCACCGCGCAGCAACCACCATGGTCAACTTTTTCCGCGCCGCTGCCGCCGGGCTGCTGGCCTTTGTCGGCGCCGCGCGCGCCGCGCCCGCCGACGTGGGCAACGAGTTCGCGGCCGGGTACCCGGGGTCGGTGCAGGTGCTGTCGACGAGCCCGCTCGCGATCCGGTACTCGACGTCGCAACCCGACGACCGCAACTGGGTGGGCATCTACGCGGCGGTCAACGGCGGCGGGCCGGACAACCAGCAGCTCGGCGCGCAGCCGTCGCTCAAGTGGGCGTACGCGGCGGGCCTCGACGGCACCGTCACGCTGCCCACCGACGGCCTGCCCGCCGGCGACTACAAGGCGTACTTTCTCACGCGCGACGGGTACGCCTGGATGGGCGCGCCCGTGCAGTTTGCGCTCGGCAAGACGTTTGCCGGCGCCCTCAGCGTCACCGGCGGGTACCCGATCCGCGTCCAGTACAACACGACCCAGCCCAGCGACGAGAACTGGGTCGGCCTGTACTTTGCCGCCGGCGGCGGGCCGGATACCGGCGTCGTCGACGACCAGGCCGTGCGCTGGGCCTACGCCGGCGGCAGCCCCGGCGCGATCGAGATCCCCGCCGACGGCCTCGGCGACGGCGTGTACAAGGCGTTCCTGCTGCCCGCGAGCGGCTACCAGTCGCTCGCGCCGCCGCAAATCTTCACGCAGGGCAACGCCGTCTTCAAGGGCGTCTTGGCTGTCGACTACGCCTCGAGCGTCTTTTCTATCCGCTACACCACGCAGCGCCCGGCCGCCAAGAACTGGATCGGCATCTGGCGCCTCGGCGAGGGCCCCGACGGCCAGTCCGCTGTCGGCGCCGCGCTGGCCTGGGAGTACGTCGCCGATGCGCGCGGCGTGAAAAAGGTCGACGGGAGCAACCTGCCTTCGGGCCAGTACCAGGCCTTTTTGCTCGCCAACGACGGATACTCCTGGCTGGCGAGCCCCATTGGCATTCACAAATAAGAATGTGTAGGTATTTTTTTTCCTTTTTTTCTATATGATTCGGTGACTGCTCAGATCACTGGTACCGTCATTTTATGAAGGCGCTCGTCTCTGAGAGCGGCTATCCGTCTCCACCGCTTCTACAAGCTGTTTCCTTGTGTAAAAGATTCCACGACCTGGGCAACGAGTAACGCCGGCACCCTATGGCTCGGGCTATATCATTCAACATTAGAATAGCTAGCGCCGCACTTTGTATATAGGACAATAAGTACATAAACAACTCAATACAAACAAGACGTGATTATGATGCGGCTATATTCATACAAACATAAGTGACATGATTCATTCTATATCCCACTACTGCCATTAATACTTGCTTCTTCAAAGCAAGCCCGCTCTGCGACACAGAATCACCGGTGCTTAGATAAAGACACGCTTGACCTGCGTCTTGACGCAGGTAGGGTTCTGCGGCTTGCCCTTGCCAACAACCCAATTAAGGGTCAGGTACGTGTAGCCGGTGTAGTAGGTCGTGCAGGCATACCACTGCTTGAGGGCCTTGAAGTTCCCAGCCCGGGGAGGGTTGACGGTGTCGTCGACGTAGCTGAAGAGGGCCAGCTCGTTGTCCTCGTCTCCAAAAGCGACATAGGTGGCAGTGTAAGAGGGCTGGAAAAGAGGGTGCGCGACGTTGGTGGAAGGGTCGTAGGTGAACTGCATGGGCTCGGACACGTATTGGTTCTCTAGGAAGCAGACAGTTAGTGGCTATTTGTGCATGCGGTAGGGAAATCATGACGTACGAAGAGGGAGGTTCCAGACGAGCTTTCCTGAAGCACCGTAGCCCGTGACGGGGCTGGTGGCGCCCTCGGTGGTGTTGAGGTAGTAGGTGGTGTAAGGACCGGGAGCGTCGTTGCTGAGGCAGAGGCCCTCAATCGCGGCGCCTGAGTGGCAGGAAGAGATGATCTTGCCGTTGATTCTGCCATTGGAAGAGTCGAGGACAAGCTTGAAGGGCTTGGACTGGATGTCGTCGGCGGCAGCGAGGCCGCTGAGTAGGATGGCGGAGGCGATGGTGGTCAACTTCATTTTGGAGGCTTGGCTGTAAAGAGGAATGGACTGGTTTGATGGTTGGGAGAGGATGGATGAGCTGGATGAGGGTATGGAATGCTGGAAAGAGGGGGAGTCTGACGATGCTTATATAGTGATTTTTACGAGTGTAGTTGCAGCAGAGACAAGGATAGCACGGCAACGATGACGGAGAATAGGATCGCCCGGTTCTTGGCGCGCCTCGCATTCCAAGTCCCGATTTTAACACACGGACAAAAAAAAAGAACGAACGAACAAGCTCCGCTTCGCAGGGCAATCCGGAAGATGCGTTGCAGGGAGCCGGGAACCCAGGCGCCAAGCGAGAAGCAAGTAGTCAACTAGAGCCGGCGTAATACGAGGAGCGACTTGTGCGGATTCGGCGCGCCGACAGGATAGCGTTACGGGCCGCGGACCCCAAAGTGAAGGCGTTCCGGGGCCAACTTGGCCAACTTGACGGAGCGCCATGCATCACACTCTAGGCTGATAATCGCCAAGCGTCGGTTCGATCCCCCACAGCGGGCGGGCTAGAGGAGGGGGTAGGGCAATACGAGGCGACCGGGGAGGCGGGATGGAGACGGATGCTACGATATGACGTCAGGGCCAGCGAAAGGCGGTGATGGTGGTGCTGATGATGGTGATGATGGCAGGTCTTGAGGCTGGGGGCATCTCGACACGAGATATGTTGGGAGGCGGGCCGCGATGAGTTTTTCCACCAACCGCCGGGATAAGATGAGCCAGAGACGGTATAACTCAGTGTGGCCCGCTGCGACCTGGCCAGTACATGAACTCTAGTTACAAGGGTAGGAATAGATGGCATAAATGAGAGTAGTTATGACGGGAATAGAATGCGAATGACATGATACATTGCTAGTACTTGAATATTTCTGGTTGAGTCAACACTGATTAGACCTGGTGGCATCGAATTACAGTGATAGCACAGTTGAACATACCCGACCACTAAAAGCTAGTGTTTACTCAGTCAAGGGGACGAAAAGCAAATGCGTGCTGCCCGTGGTCCCATTGTAAAGCCATTATTCGAGCGGGCATTTCTGCAGTGCGGGAAGCGCACCCCAAGACGTTATCCGATATGGCAGCACGCCATGCATTCCGGGGGGTCGCCGATGCTCGAGCATGTGTAGCACTTGAAATGGGAGCAGGCCTCGCGCATCTTGCGATTCGCAGCCCTCGAGGCGGCCGTGTCGCGGCGCGTGTTGGCCGCCCACGCAAGGCTGCCTTGGGCGGCGAGGAGAGTAACGAGGAGGGCGAGGAGTGAAGTCATCGCCAACAAGTCCCAGCTTGGGGGTTTCGACAGGAACTAGCGATTCGGGCGAACAAACTTGGGAATTAAAAAAAAGAAAAAAGATCTTGGGGGGAGAGCGGGCGCGCCCATCTTTATGATGAGAATGAAAGCCCTGTCTTGTTTGCGATTAATCTTAAGAGCTTGAGCCTTATGACCCCCAGCCTTGTTGCACTGCGCATTGGGTTCGTGTTGGGCGCGCCCGCAAGACAAAGAAGCCCCCTGCTGCAAGCCAACTATGCGAGCTATTAACCTGTTCGGATGAGGATATTTATACCTGCAAGCCGTCATAGAACAAAAAGTCCATGACAACGCAGCATCATGTCCGTGACCACCAAAATCACATGCTACACTGCCGTTGGCGCAAAACCACACTGACCACCAAAGTATCAGGTATCCCGTCCGTTTCTTTGCTACTCCAGTATGCACGGTTGATTTTGGACCTCTTTGAAACCGACTGTCTCAGTCACTGTTGTCGTGACCTTGTCTCTCCCCAATCTAACTGCGCATCCGGTATTAGTATAGCGCGGAGTCTTGCCAGGGTCCTTGACAAGGCTCTGGCTTCTTCATCCTGCTTTTCCCCAAAAGATCAGACTGTAGCCGGGATATGCCGCCACTGACGTTTGTAGTCTCGCGCATCGTCTTTGACGCAGGCCTGACCAACTGCCAAGCACATCATTTCTTTCAAGACCCAGCCAACACGACCCCTACTTTGGGCCCGAGTTTCGGGCGGCGCAGGACCAACGCAAACTAGAATCGCCATCAAAATACTGGCGGCTCACTTGCAGTGCAACGCAGCACGAATCTGGGGTTTGCGGGGAAGAAGTCTCGATCCAGTCCTCCCCATCAAGCGGGGAACGAGGCTTCTTCTGTCATCATCACTGGACGAATAACAAATCGTCTCAAACGCCAAAAGAAAAAAAAAGAAAGACATCTGCTGAGGACCGCGAAATATTGAGTCACAGTCTCAGTCCCCATCTTTCGCCGATAACCAGCCTAGCTTGGGCCTCCAATTGTCATGTAAAATTTCTCAAATATAGGTTTATTTCTGGTGTAAAAGAGTGTGCTGCATTACGCCCGTGTCTTGCATACTGCCACTTCTACTATAATATCGGCCGAATGTTTTCCTTGATCCGCCGACATGCGGTTGTCAAAACTCTGCAGGGCGCTGTATTTATAGCAAAGGATAGCTAGCATTTTTCAAAGCCGCAAAAATCGTAGGCCGTTTTGCTCATCCCCCGGGAATTTCGCCCTTGGAAGATCCAGTGGCTTGCGATTGAGTCGGCTTCCCGGCGATGGAGACGCGCCACTGAGTCACGCCGCACGCCGGCACGGGCTCACTAGCCCGAGCTGTGTAAGCTTCATTCCCGGACCATTTATTCTCTGCAAGCCCACCTCGATACGGAGGACCAAGACAACAGGAACCGGGCCGCCATGGACTCTAGCTACAACGTCCTCGTCACCGGCGCGGCCGGCCATCTCGGCACGGCGCTCATGCTAGCTCTGCCCGAACACGGCTTCACGCCGTTCGGCATCGACCTTCTCGCGTCACCAGCCACGACGGCCGTCGGCAGCATCACCGACCGCGCCTTTATCCGCGGACTGCTGCAGGGCAGCCGCATCGCGCACATCATCCACGCCGCGGCGCTGCACAAGCCGCACGTCGGCAGCCACACCAAGGCGCAGTTCATCGACACCAACATCACGGGAACGCTCGTCCTGCTCGAAGCGGCCGCCGAGGTGCTGGGCCGGCAGCAGCTAGAGAGCTTCCTGTTCCTCAGCACGACGAGCGCGTTTGGCAGCGCGCTCGCCCCGGCGGCGGGCCAGCCGGCGGCGTGGATCGACGAGGCCGTCGTGCCGCGGCCCAAGAACATCTACGGCGTTACAAAGGTCGCGGCCGAGGACCTGTGCTGGCTCGTGCACACGCAGGCCGCGCTGCCCATACTCGTACTACGCACCAGCCGCTTCTTCCCGGAGCCCGACGACGACGCCCACCGCCGCGCCGCGCTCGCCGACGCCAACCTCAAGCTGCTGGAGCTCGCCCACCGCAGGGTCGACCTGGACGACGTCGTCGCCGCGTGCGTGTGCGGCATGGCGCGCGCTCGTGCCCTGGGCTGGGGCCGGTACGTCATCAGCGCGCCCCCGCCGTTTGCGCGCGACGAGGCCACGCTCGCGGGTTTGGACGGCGACGCGGCCGCCGTGATCCGGCGCGTGGTGCCGGCCGTGGAAGCTGTTTTTGCCGCCCGCGGCTGGGGATACCTGCCGCGCATCGACCGCGTGTACGACTCGGCCAAGGCTGTCCGCGAGCTCGGCTGGCGTCCCAGGTACACGTTTGCCGACGCCGTGGCCATGGTTCGGGAGGACAGGGCGTGGCAGAGCGCGCTCACGACACGCGTCGGGAGCAAGGGATATCACGCCGAGAGCACGGGCGTGTATACGCAGCGCTGAGAATAGAGGATGGTAGAAGCTGGCGAGGGAAATTTCAAGGTGTAAAATAGAATTTTGGATGGAAAATAATGGCTTTCTGCTGCTAGGTAGTCGTGTTGGCCTGGCGGGGGGGTTTACCACGGCTGGCGAAAATAATACCGATTTTACGATTTAATGTCTTGAGGGAGTTTCTCTGCATTTTCGCATCTTCTATAGTTGTAGCTGGCTCATGAGCTGGTGGCGTCGGGTGCATTCAGGTGGCAGAACGTCGTTGCAGAACATCACCGTGGTGCTTTCCGCTCGTTTACTTGGGCAGGGGGATCCATGTGTCCATGTGGTCGTCGCCGGCTATGAGCGGAGAAGACGGAAGAAGACTGAAGCCCAAGCGGGGAAATCTGCGACACACCCGTGCTGTATACTCCATGATACTGCTGCAGGGTACGGAGGAACAAGAAGTGCATCGAGGCCTGATTGTCTCAGGAGGTGAGAATTGCGGCGCTCTTGACGCCAGTGACGCAGCTGAACACGGAAGCTACTGCAGAGAACAAGACAAAATATAGAATCGAGCAGAGTGTCGTACACTTGCAGGACGCAGAAACGCTCAGCTGACGCACTGCAATATCAAAGTATCTCGTGCGGAGCTTCTTGGGGCGAAGATCGGTTGAAGTGGCACACCTATTTCTGAGATGATATAGACGAGTTTCATGCACATGCTGCACGCGTCGTGGGCTTATCAACGGCACGGCTGCGCACCAAAGCAGGCGCATTATGGGCACGAACTGTTGTACGTGGTGGCCCGATGCCGCGTATCTATGAGGCGTCACACCAAGACATCAACACCGACGGTCGAATCTTCCGAGTGTTGTACGCCTGCGCCATGTGTTCTTTTCGTAAATCGCTCACCTCGAGTCGAGCTGCGTAAACCGTGTCCGACATGTGTGCAAGAGACATCAGGCACCTCAAGCTGAGCCTTGTCACGTTTTCTACTCCGGAAGCATGGCAAAAAATACGACGCATTGACATGATAAGAGTAATGATGGATCAACATGCAGAGCCTCGCGAGCGTGAAGAGAATTGTGTGTCAAAGGTGGCTGAATTCTGGCCAGCTGAGTTCTCCCGCTCGCCGTCTCGTGCAGCAGTGGCTTCCTTGAAAGAGTATGCAGCAGGTGCTATTCTTCGAGACCCTTTCCCGCCAGTGGTTCGTTTTGCGGGATGCAGTTATAGGTGGGTGATGCATGGAAGTGGCTTGTAGCGCCCCAGTCCTTTTGTCCGCTCTGCAATGCATGTCCGAGTGGAACACGCAGTCACGAATATCTCCAAGCGTCAACGGTGCTGCGGTACGAGGAAAGAAAGTATATCCCTCTGTGATAATTGGTACACCGGCTGAGACCGCACGTAGGAGTGGTGAAGAGATGGATAAATACCCCTCCTATGCCCGATTTCAAGCCTGAAATCTAGCTCGTCCACAGCCAAGCCCATTCCACAAACTCACCAACTGGAAGCTCTTTCCGCATAGTTTCAACATGACGACTCCTGCTCCAGAGACAACCGTCATCAGTGAGCAGCCCTCTGATGACGTCGCCCCACAGGCCGTCGAGATCAGCGAAGAGGTGTTCAATGGACCTATTACGCTAGAAACCGTCTATGTATGTTGAGGCCAAGATCGAGTCGGGCTAGCACGTTGGGCTCATCATGATTCTAGGTCAAATGGGACGTGGACAATGGCAGAGATCGCCCAGTCAACGTGCCCATGAGCACCGGCACCCCACTGGATGGTTCTCCGTAAGCAAGAGCTCTCCCCCTGGCTCGTCAACAACACTCTGCTAATGTATTTGTGCAGCAAGATCCAGGGCATCGAGATCAAGGCCGGTCAAAATGTGAGGCTCAATGCCTGGGCGTAAGTGATGCATGCTCCAAAGGCCAACGCGCGACAACCTGGTGGCTAATCGTTTTCGCAGTGATACCTGGGCGAATGGCAACCCGAGCCTGGGAGTTGATGGGCCTACCAATGGCAAGATCAAGGTCGATCCTAAGCGTCGACTTGGCTTCTACATCGTGGACCCGCGATGAGAAGGGTGCGCCGCTTGCCAACTGCAATGCCAGGGCGAGCTGGTGTCTTGGAAACGGGCCGAGTTTGAAGTTGTTGATTCTATAGTTGAGCTATCCCTCGCTCTGTGCATTTTACAGCCAACTTGCCTTCACCCACGGGCGTTCTACCATCGTTGCAAATCCACAGACTAGACAAGAGGAGAATCCTGATCTCGTTGTGCTCGCCAATCGTATGCTCCTTTTTCCTGCCCGAGCTGAAGGCATTGTCGGTTCCGTTAGGGAAGGACTGAACGTGGACAAGGCCCACGTCTAATAAACCACATATATACCAAACGCCTTGGATGTATAGCCGGCACTTTTCTAATGCAACGCTTTTTAACCTGCTGATGCTTCTCCGTGGTCTCCACGTTCATTTATAGAGATCCCGATCTACCTTCTAGCTGCGGCAATCTTCATACCCATCTGCCTCGCATGCTGAGCCATGAGGGCATCCGCGATCGTCAGAGCGGCCATAGCCTCAACGATAGGTACTACGCGAGGGACAACATTAGGGTCGTGACGGCCCTTAGCGGCCAGGACGCCCTCGCCAGAAGCATCATAGCGCGCGGTAGTTTGGTCCTGGGAGATGGTAGCGGGGGGCTTGAACGCAACGCGGAAGTAGGCATGCCATTAGAGATGCCACCCTGGATACCACCCGAGTGGTTCATCTTAGTGTGTAGGCGGGAGGGAGGGATGCTAACGCTAGCGCCCGGTGTCGTAGCCTTAGCGGTGGTGGGGGTCGTTGTGGACGGATCCGCGCATCTCGGCGCCATGGAAGCCAGAGCCAATCTCAAAGCCCTTGGTCGCAGGAATTGACATAGGCGTGCGCTAGGAGAGCCTTGGGCTTGTTAAAGCACGGCTCGCCGAGGCCGGACGGGTACCCACGGATAATATAGGTGACTGTGCCGCCGATAGAGTCGTGCTGGTCGCGGAGCTCGGTAATCATGTCCTCTATACGCTTCATAATAGCAGCATCAGGGCACCGCACCGGCAGGAACTCGTCAACCTTGTCGCGGGTGAGGGTGTCGACCAGATTGAGGAACTTGGGGTCGCTGCTGAGGGAGTCGGGCAGTTCTCGATGATGCAGGAGACACACTTGCCGTGGGACTCCCCCGCGCTGAGAACAATGAGAGGTTAGTACGCCTGCTATGCTAAGCCCGTGGCAGATTAGTCGAAAAAACTCACGTCGTCACGCGAAAGTAGTTGCCAAAGCTCGACATAGCGTGTATATCGGTTCTGTATAGTCCAGTGGGTGAATTGGGCTGAAAGCAAAAGCGAGGAGTTGACCCAGAGATATTTTTACCTCTGCGGTGACTACTCCGAGGTCGGAGCGTGGGCTGACAGGCGCTGTCACGTGCAAAACGGATGCGGGTCCAGCGCTGTATATAATCTCAGCGCTCATAGAATGGCAAGACATGAAAACAGCATGGAAACGATTTTGCTTCTTTTTATTCTGCCAGTTCCAATGTTCTTGGCCTTAGTCAGCGCTCATGAAGAAATCATCAATATCGACCATTTCAAAGCCATGATGCTGCATCAATACGCGAGCGAGGCAAAGTGAAGGTCATCTTTGAATCTAGCATCTCCATTCCTTCCTTTAGCGTGCAAAACTGCAGGCATGATTGGGCCGGTCAGTTGATGGCTGATACGACGTTGTGACCACTAATAAAGTGGCATCAGCTCCGCGAGGCATCAGGGGTCATGCGACCAGTTTGTCGGACATAAGACAGTGTTCAATCGTCAGCTCTTCTCCAGCCCATCTGTCTGGAAAAGCTGCTCCTCCAAACGGCGTTGCTTTGCACGGGGACAAACTCATCACAATGCAGCTGTCAGCAGTCCTCGCTGCCGCGGGCTGGATCCCGACTGCGATGGCCTCCTCCACGCCAGCGCCGTACACGGGCGGCGACATCTCCGGCTGCGGCAAGACGCACCTCTTCAACGCGCTCCCCAAGATGCGCACCGTCAAATCCGGCGGCCGGGACCGCAGCTACCTTGCCCACGTCCCCGCAGGGTACGACAAGAACCACCGGTACCCCGCGATTGTGGGCTTCCATGGCTCCGGCGGCGTCGGCTTCTTCTTCGAAGCCGACACGGGACTCGACCAGGCGCGGTATACGGGCGACAAGATCACCGTCTACCCGGACGGCCTGGGTGGCGCCTGGGCCGGCGCCAGCTACTCGGCGGCGACCGTCGCCGAGGACCTGCAGTTCGTGTGGGACCTGCTGGCCGACGTGCGCGGCGCGTTTTGCGTCGACAGCGCCCGCATCTACGCAACAGGCCTGTCGAGCGGCGGCGGCTTCGTCGACACGCTTGCGTGCAACGCCACGGTCGGCGGCGAGTTTGCTGCGTTTGCCCCGGCGTCGGGGTCCTTTTACACCAACAACGATGGCAACTACAAAGACTGCACGCCCGCGCGCGTGCCGACGCCCATGCTGGAGTTTCATGGCGGTCAGGACGCCTCGGTGCGCTACAATGGTGGTCAAGGAGAAGGCGGCATGGAGCCGTCCATTCCGGACTGGTAGGGGCGGACCACCCGGAACAAGCTCAATGGTATCGCTCTAATTTCTTCGCCGATAGGCTCGAGCGGTGGGCTGACCGGAATGAATGCGACTCGCCCAACAAGCAGGAAGATTTGTACAATGGCGAGGTGCACCATCTCAGCTGGACGTGTAAAGGTCAGGAAGGAGTGTTGCAGCACTACAAAACCGATGACCAGAGTGAGTTTCCCATCCGTGACGGCTACTGGCTACTTCAAGGCATCGGCCTGACTGACTGCCAGAGCACGACTGGCCATCACCATGGCCCAACTTTTCGCAACTGGCAGCGCTGGATAAACCTACCCATCTTGAGGCAAGTGCACTCATTCAAGACTTTTTCCTCAAGTATACGCGACCCGCTGCTTGATAGATGCTAAATGGAGGAGCCCGGTACGGATGGAAACCGTGACGATAGTAGGGCGGGCGGGCGGCTGAAAGCAAACTCTGGAACAACGTTTCGCCAAGATGCACAGGTAAAAGCAAACACTGATATACAAATCTTCCAATGCATCTTGTGGCAGCCAGTCCAGCTCTACAATACGGCCGCTTTCTACGCGGGCTGAATGTATCCAAGGTGCGGTCACAAGGATAGGCTTGTGCAAGCAAACAAGGGGTCCAAGTTGAGCGTTGAGTTTTTGTAGACATAACTACCGCGATGCTGAAAGTGCTGTACCCGAATAAATGCCAACACCCAGCATCCCAACTTAAACGACACTTGACCGCTCGCAACCTCGATAGTGCCAACACCTTGTCCAGAATGGAATTTTCCCAGTTGAAGACCATCTCCCTCTCCAAGCTAGCAAGTGGCGACGCTGAAACTTTCGCCCTCTTGTATGAAGCAGCAGTTGACGAGGGCGTCTTTTATCTGGAACCCTATCTCGGCTGGCATGATGAGCCTGCCCTCCAAGCCGCAGATGTAGCTGACTGTCTGTCACTCGCAAAAGAACTCTTCTCGCTACCTACTTCAGAGCTGCTTCTATATGATTTGGATGACTTTGGTCAAGGCAGGTTGGACGGGTGAGTGCTAGCCTCCTTTTGGCTGTGCCAGTAGATGCACTTTTGACTTACCATAGAGCCGGATAGGTACAAACCGCGGGGCAGGAATGCAGGCGTCGATGGCTTCGAAGCGTTTTTGGTAAGATGCTGAAAGGTGGACATGGGAAGAATAACCGGGCCATTAATCAAGTGTTGCACTCCTAGCTATCACGCAAGTCACTCTGCGGCTCCCCGCAAACGATGCCGAAGCTCCCATATCCAGCACCCATCGAGGCCCGCCGCTTGCGCATGCAGACATTACTGGCATCGCTGGACTCGATTGGCCAGGTGATTCTCGGAGCGCTCGCCGCGGCCATGCGCCTGGCTCCGGCGTGCGACTTTTCCCAGCGGCACCGGCCGGACCGCCCGTCCACGAGCACGTTTGGCATGCTGCGCTACCCCACGCTCTCGGCGGACGATGCCGCCAGCGCCGGCCACGCGGTGCACACCGACGAGGGCACGCTGACGATCCTGTTCGCGTCCGACTACGGGCTGCAGACGCGCAGTGCCGCGACGCAGCGCTGGGCGTTTGTCGAGCCCAGGACCGGGCACGCCGTCGTCAACCTCGGCGACTCGCTGCGCTTCCTGTCCGGCGGGCGTCTCAAGGCGTGCCTGCACAGAGTGGCCCCGCTGCCGGGACGGACGATCCTGGAACGGTATTCGTTGGCGTACTTTATGCGCCCAGAGGATGACGCCTGCTTCACGGACACGGCTGGTCGCGCGTGGACGAGCACCGAGTGGCACATCCAGAGGTTCTCTGCCCATGCACAGGTCCCCGTGTGAATTGTGGGAGAGGGAGGTTTTTGTTGAACAGTATTTAAGGTCAAATTCATGCCAGCAAGGTGTGGATCCCGCTTTTGCTGCTGCGCGACAGTTTTCTCGTTGCTGGGAAAGATGAATGCACCGAGTCATGGACTTCAACGCGGCAACTTTTCGAAATGAATGGTCTAGAGGCAGCTGCTGGTGGAATGGTCAGACTGAGTGATACGACGCACGGTGAGATTTGCGTGCTCAATTGAAGCACAGAAGACTCTACCTGATCAATTCTTGTCCATTTATTCTTTTGTACGTCGATGACTTTCTGCGTTGCCAACATGGCTCTCCTACGCTCCGTCTGCACAACAAGAACGAGAGTCACCAATGCTGCGAGTAGCTGCAAGGTTATTTTTTTTTTCGTTTTTTTTTAATAAGCGTCATCAGTTTTATAGGCACAATTTACTACACTCGCACATGCTTGCTATGCTTTCCTAATCCATATACCCTTTGCTTGCGCAATAACTCTTTGCTGATAGAATGAACTCAAACCTTGACAAATGCAGCCGTTTTATTGTGATTGGACAGCATCCAACGGTTCCCAAACCATTGGCCATATTGTTATACCCGGGCCATTCTTCTTGGGCAGGCCCTTGGCGTCGCATTTTCCTTTGCCGAGCACAACAGTGCCGACTTGTTTGAAGCCCAATTTCGCGTACACACGCCTGCTGGCCTCGGTGCTGGCCTCGAGATAGGCTGGTGTTTGCTCCTTTTGCGCGACATGGAGAACTTGCTGCAGAGTCTTGCTGGCCAGCCCCTGCCCTCTGCTCTCTGGCACGGTGGCGACGAGGAAGACGTAGTAAAACGGGCGCTTGCCGAGGGCAGGACCCTTGCACTGGCCAAGCTGACGGGGGAACTCGTAGAGCATCTTGACAGTGCCGGAGACGCCCATTTTGGCAAAGACGCCCAGCCCGCCAGAGGGGACCAAGTGGACGGGATTGGCGACGTCTTTTCCGGGCGGCACGACCACGGTAGCGCTGGTCCAATCGGCGGCTTCGTATATGGTGCTGCCATTGGCAACGGCGGCGGTAATTAAAAAGCGAAAAAAGGTGTCGAGGTACGGTATTCGTTGGTCATCTGGTAGGTTGTTGAGAAGATATGTGACGCAAGGGTCCTCGCGGAACTGGGGAGCGATTGTCGCAATCGCTTGTGAGATTCGGGCTGGCCAAGGTGAAATGAGCCTCTCTATTCATTCCGTGGTCGCGTTTTCAAGAAATAAGAAATTCGGCTTACCGGTGCCTGTCAGCCCCCCTTCTGTCGGTTGTGCAGACGCCATTGTAACGGACCGACATGCAAGACTCTGAGATGCCAGAGCAAGGAAAGGCAGGAGAACTGGTCGGGATGGGCTTCTCAGAGCCTGGTCCTTTTTATAGTTTGACCCATCCCTTTTTTTTTGGGAGCGGCAAGAAATTTGACCCGACACCGATGGTGAGCCAAGATGTTGGCCGCTTGCAGCTTGCAAGGGTCCCAGCGACAGCGGAATCCTCCAAGGAGAGAGGTTCTAGGCCAGCAGCGTCATCGCGCCACATACCAGCGAACCGCTGCGGCTCTACGAGGTCTTTGCCCGAGAGAGCGTTTACTGCGTCGATCCTGTAGTTACTGTAATAAAAATGGAGGGGCGGGTCAGTCCGTCTAAATTATATTAGTACCTACATACATAGCTAGCCTCCTTCTTTTCCCGTTGGTTCCAGGCCTCTGCGAGGTCGGAAACTGCCACCTGTGATCGCCCTACGCACTGGTCAAGACCCAGTCACGAAACTTAATCGGCCCCAGGCCCCCTAACGGCAGATTGTCCCGACATTAAATGGCTCTCCACTGTTGGGTTCGGCGAAGATCATTGACATGGCTCGCATGGCAATATGTATGTATTGGCTAGCGATAAACTGCCGAAAGCAACGCCAAGGGAAGTACGAGGCCACGGCGGGCGGGTGTCGATACGGAGGGGGGAATTCTTGTTGAAGATAGCAACTATTGAGTCTTGCCTCAGGATTGAATACCGGATGCTCTAAAGTAGTGAGGAGTGTGGCATCCAAGACTGAGACCAAGGTGACATCTATAAACAATTTTCATTGAACGGGCTGATCAGGGGGATAATACTTGTTGAATTAGTTACCTATTAGCTAAAGCTTCCCCTCCCTCTCCGGTCTCGGCAGGTGGGGGGAGGGGTTCTCCTCCAATTGTTTTGGCTAAGCTGTCCCCGACTTCGCTCTGCCATATCTTGTCGGAAACATTCTTCATCAATTCCCTCTTCAATTACTTTTCCAATCTTCCCATCTACGACATCTCTCACTGCTCCCTTTTTGAACATTTTTATCATGGCGGAACACAACATTGTTGTTTTTGCGGGCGACCACTGCGGCCCCGAGGTAACAAACGGCCCCTAAGCTGTCCCACCCTGGGCTCTGGACGGAAAGAGGCTGACTTTGGTTACTTGACAGGTCATTGCTGAGGCAATCAAGGTACGAGTCGGGTATGTGCAAGCTGCTGTTGAGCACCTCTGACGCAGGATTTAGGTTATCAAGACGGTCGAGAAGCTGAGCCCGACTGCTGGCAAATTCAATCTGCAGGACCACCTACTCGGAGGGGTAAGTCGTCCCCCGACGACGCATCACACGGGCCGAAAGACGACCACGAGACAAGTTTCTTGCTAACCTCGGCATTTCTCCCCAGTGCTCCATCGACGAGACCGGCACCCCCCTCACGGACGAGGCCCTGGCCGCCGCCAAGGCCGCCCACGCCGTGCTCCTCGGCGCCATCGGCGGCCCCAAATGGGGTACCGGCGCCGTCCGCCCGGAGCAGGGTCTCCTGAAGCTACGCAGTGAAATGTGCGCCTATGGAAACCTCCGCCCGTGCTTCTTCGCCTCGGACGCCCTCGTCGAGTCCTCGCCCCTCAAGGCGTCCGTCTGCCGCGGCACCGACATCATGATCGTCCGCGAGTTGACCTCGGGCCTGTATTTCGGAGAGCGAAAAGAGTACGATGGGGTCAATGCGTTCGACACTACTGTTTATACGAAACCAGAAGTCGAGCGCATCGCGCGGCTTGGCGGCTACCTGGCCAGGGCTAGGGGAGACTCGCGGGTCATCTCGTTAGACAAGGCCAACGTGCTGGCGACAAGCAGACTCTGGCGCAAGGTGGTTGACGAGGTCTACAAGAACGAGTTCCCCGATTTGAAGGTGGAGCATCAGCTTATTGACAGCGCGGCCATGATCATGGTCAAGAGCCCGACTCACCTGAATGGCGTTGTACTAGCGCCCAACCTGGCAGGTGAGCGAGGCCCCTCGTCCATCTTGAAGGCAGTTTAGCTAACGAGTCTCCAGGGGATATTCTCAGCGACGAGGCGAGCGCCATTGCTGGAAGCATAGGGCTGCTCCCGAGCGCGAGTCTATGCGGGATTCCGGGCACTGCAGTGCCTTCCATCTGTGAACCAATTCACGGTGAGACTCATATCCTCCACTCGAGCCCCCATGTAGACATCAGTCACTAACGCAGACGAAAGGGAGCGCGCCGGACATCTCTGGGAAAGGAATTGTGGTGCGTCAAGACGCCGTTTCGGGCGATTTCAACCCACCTATTTGCAGCAAGTGCAAGGCTGACATTTATTTCTAGAATCCCATTGGCGCCATCCTTTCCGTGGCCATGATGTTCAGGTACTCCCTGAGCCTCTCTCACGAGGCTAAAATCGTCGAGGACGCGGTTCGCGCCGCCATCGACGCCGGGCTGAGAACCAAGGACATGGGCGGCAGCACGACTACCACCGAAGCAGGCGATGCCATCGTTGCTGAGCTGGTCAAGCTTCTCAAGGCGTGAAAAGTGTCACACGAAAGGAGATGTCGAGGTTGGGAGGGGAAAGGAGCGGTGGGGGACTGAAAAAAATAAACCTGGAAAGCGAAGAGAAAAGTACTGGCTAATGGAAGTAAAGCATGGCCAACTCTTAAAAAGGAGGTTAGTAGAAGAACAAGGTTGGGTAAAAACTCGCTACAAGGTGAAGGCTATTTTAAGAAATAATAGAGGATTAAAGTTGGTTCGCATAGAAAGTTTAAGCTTGACGAGGCATGAATCTGCATCAAGGTACTGTGTGTTACAATGCGGTTTGACTATGTCCTGTCGCAGCTGTATGACCCACGTCCGTTTAAAAGGTGGCTAGTCGAAAAGTTCTAGAATGCTACAGTATCAACAAGTATGCCAGCGGCATAGTATCGTCTTGTCAGGTTGTTGATGCCTGCTCGTTCCAGACATGAGTAGGTCATGGCTGGTACTGGCTCGCGGAGCTTGGGCAATGACCGAGGCGGCATCCGACGTGACCGCCGATGGCAATGCGACGACGGGCCAAAACACGGCAGATTTCCCCGTTGAGCACCCTAATATTGTACATTTCCGTTGTCGATTCCAGCATCTTCAAGCTGAAAAAGGTTGCCCGCAGTCGGCCTGCCCAAACGACGGATGAGCGGCGCCGGAAAACGTGTGAGCGGGGAAGCCCAGAGATCTCCAAGTCCAAGTTGGCCGAGCCCAATGTATTATTTGCCGAACAAGAGCCACAGTTTTTTCCTCTTCCTTGCGAGGAAGCTAAACCGCTTCGGAAAGGAAGTTATCGAGGGTATTCCCGCTGGGAGACCCGCTAGCGAGCCTGACGGTGGTGGTTTATTACAAGTTGACCGACGGGGAAACAAGGAACAAGGCTGCTACACAGAGCAACACCAACAGTACACTGCGGAAGAGAGGAGGGGAATATCAAATATTGGAAAAAAATCTCAGAATGCTGTGTTCAGGTACGACTTTAGGCCTGAATATTTGTTAGGGCGCAATACTTAGCGCGTGTTTACTCACCCCTAAAGTTCGTCTATGAATGTGATAGACGAAAGGAATTAGCTGAGTCTGATCCAATTGTAGTAAGGCAGGCACTGCCTCGTCGAGTCCTTGTGCAGACGGAACTCGGCTCGAGATATGGGGACGCTGGGGGGGCGTCCAGGATGATGTGCTTCTGCCATATTGGCTCGGCGGGCAAAAAAAGGCCATTATTAAAGTGGTGGAGCGATGGTCGAGGCATTTGTGCGTCCGACGGTAATAAACCAGCCAACTAATCAATCAAATCAAATCAATCAGTTACCTAACCTGCCGGAAACGAAGGGTCTCGGAACTGGCCTCTTGGCTGAGTTGGCGTGAGGCAAGCAACCGCGAGATCTCTGTTGGACAGTAATTTGTTCGCTTTTCCCCCTTGCCTCATCTAGACAAGACATCAAGAGAGATAAACGTCGCCCGCAGCTCATTGTCACAAGAGCACAATTTTCAGTGAGATATATTCTTTTCCGTCAACCCTCCAGCGGAACTCGTTCGTCGTGCATGCAGCAAGAGTAATATTCACCGTGCCATGTGGATATCGTCGTCTTCCCTTCTCCACCATGTCAACCTGATCCTAGCCTCCGCATCGGCCTAGTCGACGGTCATGGTCGTTTGCAGCACGGGGGAAAAAATGGTCGCGAGGGCAGAAACGGGCAATTATGACCGAGATTTTCGGGAACCAGAGCCTCATTGAGACCTAGGGCGAGGGATAACCGAACAGTTATGGGGAACTGGGCCTGATGAGGAGGCTGCTCTGTTGGAGACGGCTTTGGTCCCAACGTCGACGACGTGGGAATGTGGAAAAAAATCATCTTATCAGATCAATCGGTGACCGGGGTAATGATGGCCTTAATTACCTGCCCTCGTCCATCTTATGTCCTTGTCGTCTCTCGTCTCTCGTTCTGCTACCACCCAGCCGTCGGGACTTGTTTACGTCGCATTGACAAACAGAACAACCATGGCCGCCACCGCCGAGGTTCGCTTCAAGAATGACCATGACTATCAGACGTCGTTCCGCGATGTCAGCGGCCGTCCGCCATCAAGTAAGTAACTCGTGCCCGTCGTCGCCGTCGCAGCACGGACTGACATACCAGCAGTCGCGAGCTCAACGCCCTCGCGCGAGGAGACGCTCGTCGCCGCAGGCATCGGCCACCGCCCCGACGACCCCGAGATGCCGTGCCTGACGATCCGCATGTGGACCATTGGCATCGCCTTTTGCCTCATCGGCAGCGGCGTCAACACCCTCTTCACCTTTCGCTTCCCCGCCGTCACGCTCTCCCAGTCGGCCATCCAGCTGCTGTCGTACCCCGTCGGCCGCGCCTGGCACCTGCTGGTCCCGGACTGGGGCCTGACGGTCCTCGGCACCCGCCACAGCCTCAACCCGGGCCCGTTCAACTACAAGGAGAACATCCTCATCTACATCCTGGCCAACCTGAGCTTCCTGACGCGGCTGAGCGCCGACGTGCTGACGGAGCAGCGCGTCTTCTACGGGCTCAACCTGGGATGGGGCTTTGAGATTACCATTACTCTCGCCACGCTGCTCTTTGGCTTCGCGCTGGCGGGACTGTCGCGCTCCGTCATTGTTGAGCCCCCGCGCTTGATTTGGCCGGGCGTGCTGGGCAACACGGCGCTCAACTCGGCGCTGCACCCCATCGAGAAGAGTTACAAGAGCGAGTATGGTGTTGATGATGTGGAAACGACGTGAGAGAGGCTAACCATGGAACAGGGTCACGGGCGATATATCCAACAGGGCGAGATACCGCTTCTTCCTCATGGCATTTGCAGTGTCGTTCACCTGGTACTGGTTCCCCGACTTCATCTTCCCGGCCCTCGGCTACTTTACCTGGGTCTGCTGGATCGCGCCAAAGAACGCCGTTGTCAACCAAATCTTTGGCATGAAGAGTGGCATTGGTCTTTTGCCGTTTACCTTTGACTGTGAGTTTTGAATACAAAAACCTGTGCTTTCTCCGGCTGCCCGCTGAACCGCGACAGGGGCTCAAATCGCCTACATTGGCTCGCCACTCGTCATCCCGACCTGGGCCATCCTCAACATTGCCGCATCCCTCATCTTTTGGATCTACATCATCACGCCCGCTATTTACTACAGCAACACCTGGTTTACCGCCTATCTGCCCATGCAGACCAACGCCATCTTTGACAACATGGGCAAGGTGTACAACGTTTCTCGCGTTATTGACAAAAAGGACGGATTCGTGCTCGATCTGGCCAAGTACCACGCCTACTCCCCCATCTACCTACCCGTCACGTATGCCCTCAACACTTTTGGCCTGTGCTTCGCCAGCATCTCGTCACTCATTGTGTGGCTGGTGCTAGAGAAGCGCCATGAGATTTACGAGGGTTTCTGCAACTCGTCGCTGGCCGTCACCCTGCGCCTGGCGCCCAGGACGGAAAAGACGGTCCAGGAGCAGGCGTATGGAACGGTGCCGACGTGGTGGTATCTCCTTGCTACTGCTCTCTCCATTGGCGTGGGCATCTTTGCTTGCGAGTACTATCCGGTACAGCTACACTGGTACGGTGTGCTCTTGGCTATGCTCATCTCTGCCTTTTTCTTTATTCCCGTGAGTATTTCAGTATGAGAATCGTGAATGACGTGGACCAGCTAATCAAGACTAGCTCGCATGGCTCTATGCCACGACCAACATCAAAATCCAAATTGACATCTTCTGCCGCCTTGTTGCAGGGTACATTTGGGAGGGCAAGGTATTGGCCAACATTTGGTTCTTCAACATTGGCTATATTTCGGGTATCAAAGGTCTCGCGTTTGCGCAAGACTTGAAGCTCGGAGTGTACTGCAATGTAAGTAGTCGATAGCGCTGTTGTACGGATCGCGTCCTGACTCCGTCTAGATTCCTCCTCGAAAGCTCTTCACTGTCCAAATCGTCGGCATCATCATGGGCACGCTCGGTCAAGTCGCTGTGCTAGAGTGGGCGCTTAACAATATTCCCAACATTTGCACCAACAAGGCCGACAACGGCTTCACGTGTCCCTTTTCCCGCACGCACTTCAACACCAGCATGGTCTGGGGCGCCATTGGTCCGCGCCGCTTTTTCGCCAACGGCGCCCTGTACCGTGACTTGCTCTGGTTCTTCCTCCTCGGCGCCCTGCTTCCGCTTGTCGTCTACGGTTTGAAGCATTACGTCTTCCCCAAGACAAAGTGGCTCAAGCAGATCCACATCCCGCTCTTCCTCGGCGGCCTCAACTACATTCCGCCCGCTTCCGGCACCAACTATGGCAGCTGGGTCATTGTCGGTCTCGTGTTTGGTCTTTTGATCAAGCAACGCAAGAGGGTGTGGTGGAAAAAATACAACTTTATTCTCAGCTCGGCCATGGACTGCTCCGTGGCCATTGCGGGCATCTTGATCTTCTTCTCCATCTTCTACACGGGGGCGGCGGGTCACTTCAAGTGGTGGGGAACACAAGTGTACAAGGTAAACAAACTGACTCGATCTCGCAGATGAAGATGCTAACATGTTTTCCTCAGAATACTTGTGATTGGAAGGGCTGCACCTACAAAGTCCTGGCCAAGGGAGAGAAGATTCAGTAATGCATTTTGGGCGTGAGGCGAATCGACTCATGTCAGCATGACATTTACGCGTTTTGTATATACGCCTCTTGATTTGTTGCTTCCCAATTGCATATATTCTTGCGACTTGTCGCTTGTCCACGGTTCAAGGCCACAAATATCGTACAACAGACCACTATTCCAATACCGAAGAAACAAAAGTGCCGGGGAACCAATGAGATCCAAGCGTTGCACTTGATAAATCTAGAAGCAAGGCGCAGTAGTCGGTTGACGCGCCCGTATCAGTCGAAACGCCTCCTGGTGTCCCTTGAAACGCTGATGCGCACCCGGGCTCCCCTGCTGCGGTTGATGTGCGGGCAAGAGGCAGCCAAAAGCATCCCAAAAGGGTAGTGGGACACTAAAGCCAAGACAAAAGCCAAGACATTGGTGCCGTTTGGGTCTGTCGATTGTTGGCCGCTTACACGGAGGTTTCGCCGCCCAACAACTTGCGTCGCCGGCCCCATCCCAGCCTAGCCCTTGCTCCGTCTGATCAGTTCGAAACGGGTGACTTATGCTGCCGCTTAGCCGAGCCAGTGCCGGGGCGCGGTTCTCCGTATTACTGGGTTCTTTTTTTTTTTTTTTTTTTTCCCTTGCTTTGCGAGGTTTCTCGGTCTGGCTCTGCCGTTAGTAAAGGTATGATGCAAGGAGGGGGTGTGTTGGTTGACGGCCCACGACCCCGACTATTCTTGAGAGCGTAGATGAGTGGGAAATCGACGACGGCTTTCAAGGAAATAAAATCACTTTCAATTTGAAATACTTGGAAATCCCCTCCCCCAAGGTTCCCCGAATCGACACGCTAAGCCCTGCGCGGCGGCACCGTTGCCAACGCCGTACGCTGAGCTGACTAGCTGCTTCACCTCCTTTCAGCCCCCCCCCCCCCCTTCACAGCCTTGCACAGGCACAGAGCACTCTGGGCTCATCTCACAAGTTCCCAATGGTATCGTCCAGTCTCACTTTGGGTTTCACATCCCGACGACGCTGAACATTCTGCCGAACTAACCGGTCCAAGGTTGTCCCAAGTTCCGGGCGGCCGTGTCTGTCTGATGGTGTCCATTCATGGTTCAAGTCTGCTGCGGCAGCCAAAGCCTATTCGGCGGCGGCGGCGGGAAGAGGTTTCTGCCAGTGGTCACGTTTGCTGTCGGGGTCAGGTATATATAGAGACAGGTTCTCGCACGGTTTTCTACCATCAAGCCCATCTCATTCACAGCCATTCCTCTATTCCCTACCAACTACTTTCTTCTTACTTTCTTCTACTTTCTTCTATTTCTACTTCTTTACTCATTTTCCGGCAAAATGAAGTTTTCCACCACCACCGTCTTCATCTCCCTGCTTGCGGGCGCGCTGGCCGGGCCCCTCCTTGCGACCGGTGGCGCGGACAAGCGCGACGTGACCGTGGCCGCCCGCTCCGGCGCGGCCGTGGCCGACGCCTACACCATCAAGGCCCGGGTGGCCGACGGCGACGACGACGATGACGAATCTGCTCTGGATAAGCGGGTGCCCAAGAAGAAGGCC